TGAAAGACAGCATTGAACATAAGATTTTGAATGTGGAAGAATGGAGCCAGCATGGTAGGGAAGTACAGGGTATCCAAATTAAAGGTGGCGACATCAGATGGAATGTGTTCAACATCTATGCTGGAAATAACCAGTAATGTACACTCTGGACTATTTGTAACTAACTCACTCACTCACTCACTCACTCACTCACTCACTCACTCACTCACTCACTCACTCACTCACTGGCTCACTCACTCACTCACTCACTAGCTCACTCACTCACTCACTCACTCACTCGCTCTCTTGTTCACCCACTCACTCACTCACTCACTCCTTAGGTATACAAGGCAGAGAGCAGCCTACGCCACACTTACCTGTCCCTGGCCATGCCCCCCAGCTTTGACATATATTCAAGCCCATGCTGATTCCCTCCTCCCCATCATACTCATATAACTATCAATTGATCTACCTCTTCTTCTTTTCCCCTGTGGTCTCGGGTGACCTGTCTGAGAGGGCAATCTCGTCTCTGACATTCTTACTTCTTACAACGTGTCCCACATATCTTCACCTTTTCCTTTTGATGGTTGTAGTGATATCTCCCATCCTAGCCCTTTCCAGTACTTCATTATTTGTGATCAATTAATTTTATTATATTTTCTAAAATTTTTTGCTTATTCTAACTTATAGACGTACGCATAGATAGATAGATCTAAAATATATTATACCATCATCAATATGTACTTAGTGAAAGACAACAGCATAGCAAAATAAAACATGTTTCGTGAGATGTTGCTCCACATAGGCTATTTTTAAGGATAAGGAAGCAAAATCTTATTTACATAAAACTTTTACATGTGTTAAAATATCATAAATATAATGCGCCTTATTTAACTATGCTATAAAATAATATATGGTCTTTGCTCAGTAATATATATATATAATATACATGTATATTACATATATTTTTTTTCAAAATAAGAAAACATTGTGAATACACACTTTGCTGTAGTAAGCAAGCAATCCCT